GATATGGGACTCATAGCGACGTTCACAACACATTCAAAGATGCGCTGCACGACGACCACCACCTTTTAACATATAGTATCAGTTTTGGAATTAATATATTTGTAGATCATTATAACTGTTTGACACTCATCATAACTTTGCATGTTGTCTGGCTCACCAAACCATGAATGAGAACTGCTAGAAGCTTCCGGGTAAGGTAGTAAATACACAACACTGATTAAGTATTAGTTGACCTACGTGTACATCTATCACTTACAAACAAATTGTGTGCCAACAGAAGCATATACGAACAATGATAGAAAATAAAATACATAGTCCTCATGTCCTTTTTAAATACTCACAGAAATTATGTTTTGTTTTTCTTATCTACAGGATGGATTTTATTTTAGACACACTAGGAGGAGATACAGCTGAAAAGAGAGACCTACTGAAGAAGTGGAATAATTCAACATTGGTTTCCATAGTTACACCTTTAATTAAGGATACAGATCAGTATGGTCTTCCATTTGGTCTGGCCTCAACCGGTTTTTCATATATGAAGAATCTATTTCAGGTGAGAGACATGTTCAGTATTTGCTTGCTACTTTCCAGACCTCATAATGTTCCAGTTGTTGTTTTCTCCTTGCAACATTTTCAAAGGACAAGGCTATAATAGTTTAATCATGTTTATTCAAATTTCAGCTGTCCATGATTGCGCTCATTGGTCGTCACTGCTATGTATTTACTGTGTATCAGCTAGATTCACTATACACCATAGGAATTGGCTCGAGAATTACCGTAAGACAATATGTGTCCAATCACAGAGATTATTTTACTGATGGAGGCATATTACTGAAGATAATATTCATGTCAAATCAGATCTTGCAATAAAGCATCCCCCATCAAATATTAAAACCTTCATTCTCACTGAAAAACATATACAGTCAAACCTGTATTGGTGACCACATCTATATATAGACCACATTCCTCTAGTGACCACTTTTTAGGCAATCCCAACGCATGACATATGAGCAACCAGTGTATTAAGACCACTGTTTTGTTTGATCACCATTTCAGCAATATTTTTACAGATTTCCTCTTTGTTTATAAGTCAAAATAATAATTAGCATTATTTTTATAAAATAATTTTTAATTTCCTCAAGCTAAACTTATTTTATTTTGATCAACTCAAATAAATGTGTTTTTGTTGCAACACTACCATCTTATTTTTTTCTAGACAAATATTATATCAAAAGGCAGAGATGAATAAAAAAGTAATCCAACCTCTATCCTCGGGGGAGCTAAGTCACAAGACGTTCCACATTGCTAAGACACAAGCTCTGTGGGACGCCGGTCAAAGAGCCTGTGAAAATAGCTAAATTCGGGAAAACAACAAAAAATCAACTTTGAAGTAATTCTGAACATCCAAATTTATATATGCTGCACAGCAGGGGTAATTTTGTTACACTGTTCAACAACTATCGCAAAGTACCATTTTCTGAGAGTTTTTTGACTGTTGTTTTCACCGTGATGGTTGCCAGGCGGTATAAATGCCAGGATGTCTGTCCCGAGAATAGGGAGACAATATGTCTATATAACCATTTCAATTTTTCTTTAGTGATTGCTATATAGGGTACAACGCAGGGATTTTTTTAAACAAAGAACAGGGACGCAGCGCCCTCATGCCCCCTTACCCTGGGGAGCAGATCCTCTGGCAACCATAACATTCTGATTGACCAAGGATCACATGTGGCCACAGTCTTTAACTGTGACCTGTCTGATAGTAATTTTGGCCCCAAGGAAGCCATAGAATGCTCCATTTTAACTTAGAATAATCAATAACTCCTCACCCTGGTAGGAAGAACCCTATCTCCCCCACTTGGTGACGCTGCTGAATTGCAGTGCTCCCTGTTATAATTTTTTTCTAGAAAAGACCCTGCAACGGATTGACTAATGGACTATTTTATGACAGCTGACAAAAGTTAATAATGGCATACAAATTTGTTTCCTTTGCATTTTATAGTATGAAAATAATATCTATTATGAATTTTATTTGTTATTATTTTGTTTTCAGGGCTTACGAGGTGGTAGAACGTACAGATGGGCTTTCTGCATGCCAAATGCAAAGGCTTTAGAAACAATCAGCAAATTAGTGGAACAGCAACAGGTGAGGGCAGTATTTATATCAATGTTGTGACAATGTTTTTCCAAACATTAAATATGTAAATTTTGTTCATATTTTGTGTCTATAAACCTAACATTAATCTAGTTGTATGTGAGGTGTAAAGTAACATGTTTGACAGCTGTTGACTCACCTCACATATTGTATATGTATCTATTGCTTCTCAGCATACACATTCTTTTTGAAAATTACTTGTAATTAGAAATCTATATTCTCTGTATTCAGAGATCAGCTTAAATATATGTATATGTTTTATCTTGCTGTAAAAAAATCATTGAGACAGCTACTAATTTGTCATTGTTTTTTCGTCTTATAGATCAGACCAGTCATAGATGAAGTATTCCCATTTGATAAACTCCCAGATGCATTTGAGAAATTAGAAAAAGGAGGAGCCAGGGGTAAAACTGTTATAAATGTCATTGGAAAATCTAATTAATTAATTCAAAACCAGAGACTGATGATGCATAACAAAAAACAGGATTTTCGGGCCTTAATGACAGTTATGTATTGAGAGGAACGAGGATTAATTTTAGGAATGGGGAGCTGAATATATATTGATTAAAATGAGAAACACAAGTTTGTTACAGATCTGGAAAAGATGTCCAATATAACTAGAGAATTGTACATCAAGTTTCTGCTGACATTCTTTTATTAAATGCAAATGAATTGTGGTATTTAGTGTTTTTCTTTTTT